TTCATCCCAATCAACATCCTGAGTAGTGACTAGGTCAGCATGCGAGTTCGCCATCCTCAATGTCGTTAGAAAGGACCTACCATCTCAAATCGTCGTTGGTGGTAAGTGCGGCATGTAATGTAGATTGATCGTAGGATGGCAAGGCACTCCCACTGAATGCCCCATCAACTTGAAGCAAACTACTATTAAATTCAGACCATTGTGCCTCTGGATTCAGTGCAGTTTGCCCAGAAACGGCTGGCTCGCAGAGCATTGTTGCTGATGAGTTTATGGGGAGAGTAGACGAGTCGTGATCCAACTGTGGAACAGCAGAATTGGATGAGCTGCTACGCTGTGGATTTTTGGGCGTTGATGGCCCTTGTGTGCTCGCTGACATATTGAAGGTGAAGTAAGACATGATGCTGTTGCATGAGAGGAGTTGGACAAACAGGAGTTGACTGACGTTTGCGCCATCTCCGAGCAAGGCCGCAATTAAATAAACACACATTGCACAAATTTCCTTGTAAGCGCCCGTTAAAGTTAGGCAATCCTAGAGATCACACCAGGATACAATTAAATATAAACGGACTTAAAATAGGTACATCTCTTGGGTACAAAATGGCCCGATTGACTGCTCTTGCTTCCGAGCCAACAGCATCACTAGAAATAATTAACGGCAAAGAAATGTATCACAACGACGTCTTTCCGATTCTGGCGTGCTTGCTATGGCCGGCCACTGCAATCCATAGCATGTGCCTAACCTCTCCAATCATCTCCCTTGAGGCTGGGCAGTCAGTCTTGTCTGCCGTGTAAGTTTCTTAGCGGGACCGGGCGTCGCCGACACTCGCTAACCATTCTGCATAGTATCAACGCTCCCCAGTCCACGAGATGTTACGTCACCATGAATTTCGGCGATTCCTCTTTCCTCCCTCTGCGCTTCAACTTTTCCACCACACAATGTGACGGTCAAATGATTGCTACTTTTACCACCCCTGCAGAGGTTCCCAATGGTGAAGCAGATATCCTTTGGTAAATACAATGGCACGGACGTTTATGGAGACTAGGTTGACTAACTGTAGTAGGCAATGCACTGGATTCTCTCCGCATTGCTATCAGGCTAACATAACCAACGGCACATCTGACCCTTCCATGCAGCTTGATAGGGAAGCACGAGTTGGATGTATTACCGAGTTACTCAAAACGAGCAATGTCGTGATTACCAAAGTAATGCCAACTCGTACAGCAACCGACACTGTAGTGTCCGTCTTCACCTCCACGACAACACGTTTTACCAAGTCGCAGACACCAATCACAACATCAATTCCGGCCCAGTCACAGTTCACCTCCGGGGTATCAACGCCACCCTTTACGATGTCGGACAAGGATCCGACGCGGACAGACACAGCAGCCGCCCGGGCTCCGAGTGTTGACTCCGTTCAAGCGGAGATGCCTCCTTCTAGCGTGTCCGGAAAAAACGTCATAACTACACCCCCCTCGGCTTTAACGACTGACAAAGTGTTGGACAGTGCCGCGACCAGAGTCACCACTCCCGTTACCAGTTCTGTAGTAGTCACATTGTTGACCACCACACTATTACGAACTGTAACGGTTAGTTGCGCAACAGGGAAGGGATAATTGGAGTGATTGGACTGGAACTTGTGTATATAATATTTCTCTGCGACCTGTTGCTAAGCTAGTCTAGTTGTTCAGATACACTCACAGTAATTGACTTCATCCACATTACACTTTGATACTTCCGTTGCAAGCTCTTGATCATGTCCTACCCGCGTCTCCCTCCACTTCGGCCGACAGAAACAAAGCAGGATGTTCCAAGGGGATCAAGCGATCCTCGACGAGGCCCTTCGACTTCCCTCAAGCTCGGCCTTGAGCAAGCGAATGGACGCTCGATAAATACATGTCGAGCCATCCATGCACTATGGAACCAGGATATGAAAGAAGCTGCTGTACGAATGTATCGTGTTGAGTCGAGCCTACGCGCGTCTCAGGAAGAAGTGACAAGGCGCAACGCCCAACAGGAAGAGGACATGCTTAACCTTCGGACCAAAGTGTATGTGCTGGAGGAAAAAGTTCACATGTTACGGGACGAATGCCAGACTCAGCGACATGAGCATCGTAATCTCAGCCAGGAGCTAGGTGCGGAGTTGCATTGCACTCGGGAGCTTATGCATCAAATGACAGGAGACATCCAGTCGCTGAAAGAAAATCAGGTGCGCATTCATGTGTCTTCTTTCTCATATTACATTGACTAATTACACATAAAGAGTCCAGCAGGAATCGAAGTTCCGAATGGCTCAGAGGGGTCCGACTCTGCCTCCAGCCCAGTGACCCCGGAAGCGATGGACGCTTGGAGCCCCAAGGCGTCGGATGGTTTCTCCGGGAAGTGACCGCCTTGAGGTTCGCCCATGGTAGATCCCTTCTTCGTGAAGTCTTCTGGCCCCAGGACAACTGGTAGAGGAAATATACTAGCCTAGGGCAAGTCAGATGCAAATCATACGCGTGTTGTTTCATATATCATACCAGCTCCCGTTGTGAAGGCGGAGTAAAGTCACTGGAGTATTGCCAGATTTTGTTGCTCCTCTTGCTGCGCACGCACAAATAAACGTCTACTTCGCAATCGATGTGTAGATCGTGTGCCTTTTTCAGGAAATTCCGTCTCCGCTTGGAGAAACGGCTGGATCTGTTCTTTTGTACGCGCTGCATGTCACCGATGTTCACAGGTCGGCAATCCTTTGAGTTATTGCACGCTATGTGGTCGCTGTATATCTGCGCAAGTTCCTTACCCACAAATGGTGAGAATCTTGCGAAACAGCTAAAGAAGGTGAGCAGAATATCACTTTATTTGATGTAGAAAACCTACTGGTTGCAAGTCATGTTGGTTCACTCGGTGCCCTATTGCATGCTCAGGCTTCATCCTAACCGTCATAGTCTCTTTATCTGCTGCCGGTTTTAACTTTAGTACTCTATTATTACCAGTGCATGTTCTATAGAGGCTTTGGCGCTGCTTAAAAATAGGTCTACCAGCATGGCATCTTGCCGCGCGGTTAGCCTGCGAGGGAGTTCATGGTAACCCGACTCCCACACATCTATCACGCTATAGCTCGCGAATTTGGTCGAAGTTTAGTGATAGGATTTCTGGTATTATTCTTATTTGAAGTTGTAAACTAATGCGATTATCGTGCAAGAGAATCCGCATACTGCAGCGCAAAAATCACCAATCCACTGATCACGCCCTGATCGGACATGGCGGTGGAGCCCATCTTCGTGACTGCTCTCGTCGCATTTGTTGTGAGACGACCGCTACGGTAGTAGGTGCTATCGCTAGCATGGTACCAAAGAGGTCCAGCCTGCAAGCCAATGGATCTTCTCAGAATAGAGCGAGATTGCCGAATACCGAGGTGCATTTGCTTTTACAAACTCCGTGGCAGATCCCCGGTGGAGATCAGCCTTAACGAGGATATGATGGTCTTCTCTTGAGGACCAGGCCACCAATTTGGTGGTTGTGGGGGTCTGTTCGCCTTGTCTGACAAGGCAGAACACTCAGGTCGGGCGTAATGGGGGGAATAAAACCCACATTGAGAGTGGTGAATGGTTGACGCCCGCCTTGTCACATTGTGCAGCGTCAATTTTTTACTGCTTGTCATTGGAGCCCACAGCGTGCGGACCGTACCGTCGGTAACCAACTAAAAGTGACAATCACCCGGCTCATCTGCATGTTGGCAAAATGCTTCTTCATTGAGAATCGGTTGTATCACATGTGCATATCTCTTCAAAAGCCAGTTTTTACTGTTCAACTGCTAGATATACCCAGCTCTCTAGCCATGGCGGCGGGACTTTTGTAGACTCGGCAGTTTTCCTTCCCTGCGTCTCCTCTCCAAAGTAGAAATACTGGCTTACAAAAGCCCCGCGCGCCCTCCCACCACCCCTGCTTTTCACCGTTTCTGGCCACAGCCACCTGAGCTAATAGCGCCTCTTGCGGCTCTCCTTCCGCCTTCCGTTTCTGACCTTTTCCCGTCAAGGCAGTCCATGTCACATAGAAGTATCGGTGATTGCCTGTTTTGGGCTGACTGGCGGGGGCAGTATCAGCGGGGATGGGATTGGCAATTCTTGCCGCGACGGCACTTGCGTGAGCGGGCTGGCTACCGGGAAAGGGCAGTGCTCAAGTCGCGGATTAGGGTCAAGATACAGGATAATTCCGTGGCATTCTTCCCTGTCGAGGTACAAGTCCGTCTGAACCGACAAGAACGGGGCTGGGCATGTTGACAGCGGCGCGTGGGGGAAGAAAGTCAAAGAGACCCTAGGGCTGACGCGGCTGTCAACAATCTGTGGCTCCACTTCGTCCATTCGACCTTGTGATGGTGTTGGGAACCACAGACTGATTCCGCCATCTTCATCAGTCACTGATTCCAGTGTTGCAATGACGTGGTGCTGTTGATCTTTGCACTCTAGGACCACGTAAACTCCGGGTTGTCCGCGGTTGGTGGTGTCGATGACTTTGCAAGTGATTGGTGCCATTCTGTCTTGTCGTGTCTGCTCGCTGTCATTGTTCATGATTCCATGCAACGCGTATTTATTGTGGCTCATGTACTACGGTAACTGTTACACCTGCAGGGCTGTCTTATTTTTAGTTTCGCGACTTGTTCTCATCCAAGTGCTGTGACGAAAGTTAGAACCTGGCCGGTGCTGCCCCTGCCACCCTTCGGTCGTCGGCGACTTCCCTCTGCTGGCCTTCAAAGTCTGGAGCGTCTCCGCTTCTCCACTTCATTGCGGCTTGCCGCCGTATTGTTATGCCTCTTTCCCACCATTGTTGCCTATTTTGCCGGACTGTGCCATAGGCAGTACTCAGCTTGGGGGTGAGGTGTGCAGGTAATGCCTCAATTGGGCATGCAAACTAGAAAAATTCTCTGCGTGACATTCGGCACCTGGCGCTTGTGCGTGTCGAGGATCGATAGGAGAAACGACGTCGTATTATTTTTAAGCAGAAGTAACCATTCTGAGACTATCTACAACTGGGGAGGGAACAGCCTCCCTGCGGCTTCCATCTCACACTGCGCAATCTCCTCGCTCATGGTTGCCTGTTTAGTAACCTCCACCACTGTCTCTCGATAGCTTTGGAACGCGGAGCAAATTGCCTTGATGACCTCCGCTAGCCCACTATCCTGCTTTTTAATGTATTGCTTGTAGGCGGTAATTTGTTTTCGCAGCATAATATTCTCCTCGTCACTCGCACGTAGAGACTGACAAAGCGTCTTGTTTTGTTCCTGAAGCTGACCCAGTTGTCGTCTCATTTCATCAGCAGTGGCTTGGTACTTGGGAGACTGTCTTGGTAAGACTAGAGGCCGAGCGACAGGGGGGCGATCTTTGCCTTTACCGCTTAGGTCGGCTTGCTCAGGCAGGGGCGGGAGTTCTTTCGCCTTGTAATTAGCCATGGGGTCAGGAATATTTCGTTTGCACTCGGAGGTTGTAGCACGCATTGAGACAAAGTGGACTGAAGTACCAAGGTTTTATGTCCTAAGCAAAATTTGTCAAAAGCTAGTTGAGGTAACTACGTGGATTATCTTTAAACGTTCATGCAGCCTTCTGTCACACTGTCCGCCGTCCACTACCGCCCGGGGAGGCCTAATCGACAATGCATGGCATTATGTGTATGCGCATTGACCGTGCCTCTCAAGATCTTCCTCCAGATTTACGCGAAGAATGTGCGGCATCAGTCCCCTTGTAAAGTCTCTGAGGTTCTGCTTAAGGTCCTCTACGACCTTAAGCATGCCTTCAATCACTGCAAGGCGACTAAGCATGTCGCAAACGTTCTTGGCCAACTGATCCACTGTTTGGTTTCCAGTAGCTGCAGCCTGCTCTAATGTGGCAATGCGGTCGTTCATTCCCATCAACATCCTGAGTAGTAGGTCAGAATGCAAGTCCAGCGTTCTCAATCTCAAGGTATGACTTACCATCTCAAATCGTCGTTGGTTGTAAGTCCGAACGAGGATTGGTCGTAGGATGGCAAGGCACCGCCGTTGATAGGCCCATCAACAAGCAAGCTGCCATCAAACCCAATCCAAGGTGCCCCCGGATTGAGTGTAGGTTGCCCACAAAGGGCGGGCTCACAGAGTGTGGTCGCCGGCGAGTTTGTCGGGAGAGTAGACGACTCATGATCCAACTGTGGCACTACAAGTTCGGATGAACTACTAGTACACTGCTCTTTTTTGGCATTTGGTGGCCCTTGTGTGCTCGCGGACAAGTTGAAGGTGAAGTACGACATTATGTTCGATAAGAAGAGGTTGGACAAGCAAGAATTGGTTGAAGTCTGTGATTCCGCCGAGCATGGACGCAATTAAATATAAGTACCTCGCTCAAATGTTACTGATAAGCGCCCATTAAATTTAACACCAGAAATCGCACCAGGGCGCAATTGAATATAAACGCGCTTAAAGTAGGTAACCACGAATCATGGGTACAAAATGGTCTCGATCTACAATATCCTGCTAGCCAACGGCATCACTAGGAAAGTGACCAAGACTTTAAGAAACAAAATGCATCTCAACAAGCTCTTCTCAATTCTGACATGCCTGCTGTGGCCAGCTGCTGCTATCCACAGCTTGTGCCTCACCTCCCCGGTCGTCTCCCTTGAGGCTGGACAATCGGTCTTGTCGGCTCAGTCAGTTGCATCCCGAGGACCATGACGCGGACACTTGCTAACCCGCCTACACAGCATTAACGCTCCTCAGTCCACAAGATGTCAAGCCACCATGAGTTTTGGCGATTCCTCTTTCCTCCCTCTGCGCTTCAACTTCTCCACCACACCATGTGAAGGCCAACTGATCGCAAAATTTACCACCCCTGCGGAGGTCCCCAATGGGGAAGCAGATATCTTTTGGTGAGCACAATAACCATTCCATTGCAAACAGGTCTACTAACTGTGGTAGGCAATGCGCCGGACTGGCTCCATACTGCTATCAGGCGAATATAACGAATGGCACATCTGATCCTACCATGCAGCTTGATAGGGAGGCACAAGTTGGATGCATTAACGAGGTACTCAGAACAACCAGTGTCCTTGTTGTCAAAACCATGTCCACTCGTACAACAACCGAAACTGCAGTGTCAGTCTTTACCTGGACAACGACTAGTTTCCCTAGATCACAGGAGACATCACCCACAGTCACACTCCCGTCCCAGTCATGGGTCACTTCTGGGGTGGCAACACCATCATCTACAGTGATGAACAAGGATCCAACGGGGACGGACACAACAGCCGCCCGGGCTCCGACTGCTGACTCCGTTCGAGTGGAGATCCCCCGGTCCGATATGATCGGAAGAACCGTTAGAACTACGTCCCCATTGCCTGTGACAACAGACACAGTCTTTGACAGTGGCGCTTCCAAGGTCACCACCCCTCTTGTCAGCTCTGCGGTGACTACATTTTTGACGACGACACTATTGCGGACCGTAACGGTTAGTTGCACAGCAGGGAGCGCAACAGGGAAGGCATAAATGGATCTTAGCTTGTGCATATTAGACTCTGGTCGGACGTGTTGTTGAGCTAGTTTAGGTACTGAAATACATACTTCATCGGTTTCCTCTCCGCCTGATTTGCTTTTACGCATACTTGCAAATTTCTTCTGAAAGCATTTGATAATGCCTGACAGCCGTCTCCTTCCACTGCGACCTGCCCAAACAAAGCAGGATGTGATTATAGGCTCAAGTGATCCTCGGCAAAGCCCGTCGTCTTCTCTCAAGCTGGTCCTAGAGCAAGCAAGCGCAGGATCGTCCAATACGTGCCGGGCCATTCATGCTCTATGGAACCAGGATGTGAAAGAAGTTACCTCGAGAATGTATCTGGTTGAGGCAAGCCTAAGTGCGTCTCAGGATGAAATGGCAAGGTGCGATGAGCAGCACGAAGAGGACATGCACAAACTTCGGACCAAGGTGTATGTTCTGGAGGAGAAGGTTCATGTCCTACAAGAAGACATGCTGAATTCCCGACAAGAGCACTATGATTTCAGCCAGGAATTACGTGCCGAGTTACATCGGACTCGAGAGCTTTTGCATCAAATAACAGGAGATATCCAAGTACTGAAAGACAATGAGGTTCGCATTTATGTATCTTCTTTCTCATGGAACATTAGCTAATTACACGTAAAGAGTCCAGGCTTAGTCGAAGTTGCGAATAGCTCAGAGGGATCCGACTCTGCCTCCAGCCCAGCAACACCGGAAGCGATAGATGCCTGGGGCACCAAATAGCCAGATAGCTTCTCCATGCAATATTCCTTCTTGGTGAAGTCATCTGGACCGAGTACAACCGGCAGAGGGTACATATTAGCCTAGAGCAGGTTAGAAATATGTCACACACATATTGCCTCGTACGCCATACCATCTCATCGTGTGAAGGTGGAGTGAAGTCGCTGGAGTATTGCCAGATTTTGTTATCCTTTCTGCTGCATACGCACAGGTAAACATCTACTTCGCAGTCCTTCTGTTGATCGTGTGCCTTCTTCAGAAAATTCCGTCTCCGCTTAGAGAAACGGCTGGATCGGTTCTTTCGTACCCGTTGCAGGTCACTGATTCTGACCGGTCGGCAATCCTTTGATGGATTGCACATTATATGATCGCTATATATCCGTGCAAGTTCATTCCCCATAAACGGTGAGAATCTTGCGAAACATCTAAAAGACGTGAGCTGGATAATCACTTTACCTGGTGTGGAAAACCTACTGATTGCAAGTCATGTTGGTTCACTCGTGCCTTGTTGCAGGCTGAGGCCTGATCCCTAACTACTCGTAACCTCTATACCAGTTGCCAATTTTAACTTTGGTACACCTGCTACTGCCAGGGTATATGCGATAGAGGTTCGGGGCTTCTTAAAAATAGGTCACCTAGCATTACAGTTTGCCGCGCGCTTGGCATGTGAGGAAGTTTTGGTGTCCCGACCACCACACATCTGGCACGCTATAGCTCGCGGATTATGGTCTAAGTTTAGTGAGAGAACTCCTGGTATTATTCCTGTCTGAAGTTGTAAACTAATACGATTACCATGGAAAAGAATCCGCATATTGCAGCACCAAAAATCACCCAGCCATAGATCACGCCTTGGCCTATCACGGCGGTGAACCCCATACTCGTGATTGCTCTCGTCGCATTTGTTAGTGAGACGACCGCCACGGTAACAGGTGCTATCACTAGCATGATACAAAACAAGACGCCAACTCTAACCCAAATTGTAGGTTTTCTTGCAAGGAGCAGTGCACAACATATTACCGCTGCTGACACCGCGAGCAACATCTCAATTTCGGACAAGCACTCCAAGTGAATTGTAGATATCTGTTGGATAATGCGATTCGTCGAGTTCGTTGGTATTGCTAGAACTGCTTCGTCGTAGCGAACACACCGGATTGCATGGGTCAAGCTAACACAGGAGCCCCGAATTCCAATGGTCAAGTTTGCTGAGACATGAGCATCTTGTTTGGGTATCTACGGAGCATATCAGTCTTAGCTGACATTGTTCGTAACACGATACACACCTGAAAAACTATGAGGCCGCGGTCAGAAAATGCAGAACTGTGTCGAATAATGGCGGTAATTACTGTATTTGTGATAAAGGCTGCCAATGAGGCGCACACAAATGCATTCCTCTTCATGGTGAGAGAAGAGTTGGCTTAACGCGTTAGCTGGTGTGTCTCGTGGGGCTTGCGTTTTATTATCTGGTGAATTAAGCCTGCGGCAATCGAGTAACTAGCTAACTACATTTAAATTAATTCAGCCCGGAGGGCGTTTATACAATAAAAACAGCACTTGAGCCCTAAGTCGATTCTAGCTAGGGAGATGATAGATCAATGTACCCGCTCTACTCTCAATTAGTCCCCGATAGCAAAAGCTCAGCCTCCTGTTCTAGGTGAGGAGGAGAGAAGGCCTCATCGTAGTTAATTTCAGGAATTTGCGGGTTATTTTCGGGATGGACATGCTGAGCAGGTTTCGAAAGTGGTTCGGGACCTCGCTGAACTACTGGTGTTGAATTCTGGGGATTCATAGAGGGCGGTAGCGCAGGCGTTGCAACGGGTGCTTCCAAGGGTCCCTTCATCTCCCAGCGCACATCCTGTGACGTGCTAGCTAGATCATGCACTACTGCTCGTCCTAGCTCCTCGGCCGGCTGTATTTGGGTGACCTGCTCTGCCCCAGCCTGCTCTCCCACGGCTTGAATCCCCCCGACCTGGTCCTTCTTCCTATTCCTCTTTTCTGGCACTTCTGCTGCTTCATATACTTCATCATGCTTGCGTTTCTTTTCTTTGGCCCGATTTGGATTCTTAGTCGGGGGTGTCAAGTGCGCCAGCGCTTGAGTCGGGATACCCGCTGGATCTACTGGTGGGCCAACGTAGAGATCAGACGCCCGAGTCGCTGGGATGTCTGGGACATTCTGCTGCCTGAATGTGAACTTGGGCCCTTTGCCCCGAACGCGCGGCTTGTCGCGACTTGTTGCAGACCGAGCAATACCTCGAGGCATTTTGTCCTTTCCTTTCTTTTTGGGGCGCGTTTCATTATTGCCCCTTGGCCATAACTTTAATACTTCACCTAGCCTTGTGTCTTCGTTTATCTCTGCCTCACTCCTCCATGCCTCATTTGGCTCTGTTGTATCCACGTCCATTTCAGCACGGAGAGATGCAGCTGATGCCAGCGATGGAACCTTCGGTTTACCCCCAAAAAAAGCTTGCAAAATATCGCTTTGCACACGTAGCTCTGGTGGCACCTTGTCATCTAGGGGTTCCGCGAATAGTTGTGGGAAAAAAGACGATTGCAGTAGGATGTGGTACCCCGCGAGGCAAGGTTTTCCACTGCGCCAGTCCCTCCTCCTCTTCGGCTGGGTGTACGATATGTGCCGGTTCTCAATCGGGTGAAGACGCCCTTTCTCAATATTCGCGTTAGAGAAACCTAAATCTTTAAGAGTGACACAGAGACGGCTTAGAACGCTATTATCAAAATTGCCCGCCATCCACACTCTCTTGTCAAAGTCCCTTAGAGGCGCCTCGGGTGACAAGTAAGGGAAGTAGCGCAATGCGGCTAGAAATGCTTGAATGACTGCAGCGTCGGCAGTTGGCTCATTCACCTGGATCATGCGACCGTGGCCGACTTCCATCGAAGCCCCACGACTGTTCCAGTCCTTTTTTAAATTCTCAATAAGACTGGAACACATGGGCTCGATTGTATCAGCCCGGCTCTCTGACGGCCTGTTCTCAATGTGTTTCTCAAGGATTTTAGCTCCAATCGTCA